TAAAATATGTTTATTAGTGAAAAAATTAGAATATGTTTAAAGTGAAGATTTATACTAATACTAAAAGAATAAAAACCTGTAATATAAAAGAATTTTTTTATATTGGATAATGATAATAATACTCTGCTCTTTTAATAACTAATTAAAACTCAGTGTTATTGCAATGAAACAAAAACAGCAGAAATTATAATTTATCGAAAATAATTGTGACATGTAGGATGATTAGAGAATTTTTTTTCAAGGCTTGGGTTTGGGCGCTTGACACCGAATATACTCGCCCTTTGAGCCCTTGGGAGGGTATTATAATGTGATAGAGAATCCCACTATTCGTTGATAAAAAAGTAGCTCGAGAGTTGACGGTGAGTTGTCTTTCATTTCAAAATTAGGGACAGCTAGTGCACATAACCACTGAGTAGCTTTGTGCGAAATTGAACATAGGCCTTAATTAGTCTTAGTTCATTAAACGTGCTCATTACATTCTAAACTTTAATTTTATTTTGTCGAAACAAATTGAAATTACAGGTAATTTTAATTTTTCGTTAAAGTGAACTTGTCATTAACGAATTTTATCTTTTTTTTTACATTTCTAATGGAATTTTTTAATAAGGAAAGTAACATGCACTGTTTTATGACTGTCAGGTGTACTGTGCTTAGGGTGCCATCTTGTGACAAAAACACGAAAACATGGTGTTATTATTTATTTTTCTTGCCTTTACAAAATTAAAACTATTTTCTCGTATTTATTTTTTTTTCTTTCGTGAATTTCATTTTGTTAAAAACTTCATTATAATTTTACCGTATGCACATAACTTCTATTTTGAATTTTTCAATACGCGTTTCTTTCCTTTAAAATTATTCTGTTAAAAAACGAATTAGTATTCTTTGATAGATTGTTTTGGCAGAGTATTCATGATGAAACTTTGTCGTCCATTCTACAAAGTTTCATCACGAACATGTATTATTTAGCTGTACTCTAAACAATACTAGTTCTAGTCTTCTATAACGGAACTTTCAACAGACAACTGTACTCTAAACAATACTAATTCTAGTCTTCTATGACGGAACTTTCAACAGACAACTATACTCTAAACAATACTAATTCTAGCCTTCTATAACGGAACTTTCAACAGACAACTGTACTCTAAACAATACTAATTCTAGCCTTCTATAACGGAACTTTCAACAGACAACTGTACTCTAAACAATATTAATTCTAGCTTTCTATAACGGAACTTTCAACAGACAACTGTACTCTAAACAATACTAATTCTAGCCTTCTATAACGGAACTTTCAACAGACAATTGTACTTTGTCCAATACTAATTCTAGTCTTCTATAACGGA